GATATGGGCCGATACCGATATGGTGGCCGATATATCGTGCATCCCTAGTTTTTTTTGTCCATATCGCACAGCCCTAGCAGAGAATCAGACTCTGTTCCCTACGAGCACCTGAAGTCATCTAAAAAATAAATTTTGTCAGTTCAAATTTACTTCATGGAACCTGCAATGAGTTTACTGCCTGATCAGGTACAGGTAAAAGGAATCAAACACCAGCATCACAGTCACATAAAAGCAGCAAATAACTTACTGGCCAGGAGGAGGCAGGAGAGGGCGATGACGTACAGCTGCCGCACCGCTACATCATAGTGGTCCATAAAGAGGTCGAGCAGGTAGACGGCCAGGTGACGTGCTGTAGGGCATAGCTGGTATCGGTTACTGAGAACAGCAAGCAGGTCGGCAAAGTACCGCCGCATCCCAATCTGTGGAGACTGGGCCTGGTACGTTGGCAACTTCAGCTCCTAAGGAGAAAAGGATGGCATTTTTTTATTTTTGTAAAATAGTATATATAATATTTGGACCATGGTACAAATATCATGGTGTTCAGCAAGGATGCATTACATCTATTAAAAGTGACAGTAAAGACATTCTTAATGTTACAAAATATTTCTATAATAAATGCTGTTGTTTTGAACTTTCTATTAATCAAATAATCCCGAAATGGATCACAATTTTCACAAACGTATTAGAAACAACTATTTTTAACATGGATACTATAAGAAATGTCTTGAGCATCAAATCAGAATATTAGAATGGTTTTAGAAGAATCACGTGACACTGAAGGATGTGTGATAGCTTTGCCATCACATAAATAAATTCTGTTTTAAATTATATTCAAATAGAAAATGTAGCATTACATGTATTTTAAAATTATATTATATTCAAAATATTTCATCCCAATATGTTAGGGATTTAATCATTTTGACCAAATAAATGCAACCTTGATGAGAATAAGGGGCCGTTTACACGACAATGTTTTCAGCCAAAAACGGGAAACTTTTTATGCGTTTTGCCTGTTCGATTACACGACAACGGCGTTTTGGGGACTGAAAACACATAATTTTGAAATCGGGTTTCAAAGTGCAAGTTTTTGAAAACGGCACCGTTATCGTTTCCATGTAAACACCCAAAACGGGAATCTTTGAAAACGGTGACGTCATGCGTGTGTGTAGTACGTGTTAGGAATGTAGACATGCGCCGTACGTGTCGATTTTAAAGGCAAGCGCGAACAAACATACACAACAATGGCGGAGTATGGTACTGTTGTTGCTGCTCAAGAGTTTGCTAACACTTCTTCAGCAAAGTGTGGATTTACTTCACCAATATTACAACCAACAGCGGAGAAGCATCATATACAACATATAATCGTCACTTCCCTAAAGGTACCGTTTACTAACAAGGTGACAGTGCCAACTACTGGCCTGGCATACGTAATACAGCGTTTATGGCCGTTTTCACGGATGTGTGTAAACGCGAATCATTTTAAAAACATTGTCGTGTATACGTGAAACTTTTTAAAAACGCAAGGGAAAAACTTTGTTTTTGGCTACATCGTTGTCATGTAAACGTAGCCTAAGAGAGAACAGTAGTTTTTGTGTGAGTTATTAAAAATAATTGTTTTATTCTGTGATATTACCATATATAATCTATAGAAAATATAGAAAAGTATATAATCTGTGAAAGACCGTAGTAAATAAAATAAATTAGAAAATATGTCAAATTAAAGATAAATGTATGAACCATGAGCATAAATTATGTAAAACCATTTTTAAGTGTTGCATTCTGCATTCAAAAGGAACAATGCATGTTCAAATCAATTTATGAAAGATTAAAGGGGTGGTTCATTGCGATTTAAATTTTTTAACGTTAGTTAGTGTGTAATGTTGCTCTTTGAGCATAAACGATATCTGCAAAGTTACGAAGCTGAAAGTTCAATGCAAACGGAGATATCGTCTTTTAAAATTCTGGTAGTTTAATGCCTACAAAAACGGCTGGTAGGGACTACAACAAGTTACTTCCCAGGTTCGTGACATCACAAACCCAGATAAACCCCGCCCTCGGGAAAAGGCAGCAAAGGGGGCGAGGCCATGCTGCGCTGCTTTAGAGAAGAGGAAGAGAAAACTAGAGGTGCACATAAAAATCTATTCATATATGAATCTGTCTTCTAACGATTCTAATGGATTCACAAGTTTCAAAATCAATGTTCTAAAGCAGCGGTTCTTAATACTGTTCCTCGCGTCCCCCTGCTCTGCACACGCACACGCTCTCACTCTCTCATTCAGCTCAGCAATGAACTGTTACGATTATATGCTTATTTTCACATAGCTATGAGAAGCATTAAACATGGACGGGGCGTGCAGTTGCCCGTACTGTATTAAAGCTTTAATCAGGATAAAACTGTATATTAAAAGCTAACATAAGCAGTAGCATTTACAAATAACAGCATATCTAAAAGTATGAGACAACAACAACAAAAAAAACATAGGCCTACCATTACCATTAAAAGCCGTGTTTGCACAGGTTCTGCACGATCCTCTTCAATAATATCAAATTGCTCAAACTGATAAGCGATATTAAAGACGCCTTTGTTTACAATACAACCGGAGCACATGCCATTGAGGTGAGAGGCGGGACGCTTAGACGTGCACTAGAGGCGGTTTAGCCAATCACAACACACTAGGCTAGCTAACCCAGCTGGACAGAGAGGTGTGGAATAAAGGTAAATTATGTGAAAAATAATGCGTTTTTAAAAAAACGAAGCATTAACATGTTAGACTGCATCCCATAAACACAATCAAGCCTAGAAAAAAACCAGTGAACCACCCCTTTAACAATTTTTCATGAATGAGGCCCATTAAAGTAATTGCCTTTTGTCAGCACTCTCTGTAACCAACTAAACCATTCTCAATTTAATCCAACACCAACTGCGCAAAAATTACAACTCAAACATACCCTGAAAAAGCTCCAGTCACGCTTAATAAGCAGCTAAATTGTCAAACTCTTTCCAGACATGAGTCCTACAGGCAAAGTGTGCTGCTTTATAGTGGCTGTTGAGGAGAGCGCTGGGTCCTTTACAGGCCTAGCCATCATGTCTCGCAGCCATCTGTCCCCTGTGGGGTGAGAGGCTGGGATTTGACCCTCTCAAGGAGCCCTTTTGTGGGGCCTGCCCGCAATTTAAACAGCCCTACAGCTGCTGCTGTATTTGAATGGCTGATCAGTTTGTCAACTGCATAACTTGATGCAAACCTTTTTCAAGAGAACAAGATTTTTCAAAACATCTATAAATAGTATAGCAAGGTAAAGCTAGAGGAAATAAAACTTGCTCAGCAACCCTTTGTGGTTTTACATTTTTGTGGGTTTCACACAAGATAAAATGGGAATTGGCACTTGAACATCACACAAAAAAGAGGAAATAGACTTGCTTGAATTTTGTAATTTAGCTTGCTTAAGACAAACTAAATTTATGAGCCAAATTAAAAGCAAGACTGCTAATTAACCTCCGCAAAGATTTCAATTAATTGCAAAGACCCTTAGGTTTCGGTACTGACGTAGTAGGAGGTGAAGTCAGCCAACCTCCCACACAAAACAAATTAAACTATAGCCTATCTGTGCAAAGATTTACATCGGCTAAACATTTCTGCACAACATTAACTGAATATTTCATGTTGGTGAACAGAGAGAGATTGTTCTGTCTAAAAGTCCACCAACACCAAACCTCCGATCTCCACAAACAGCTGAACCACTCTGCATCTGCATTGCATTAGTCCTCCTACATATCGCTAGATTTCGCATAGTACAACTCTGACTAACCAGGTGGTGAAGAGAATAACTTGCCAAAAAAAAGTTCATGCCAGCCACATTCAGTTACATGCATCATTTTGCCACTCCTTGACACGTGCTGAATAAACCCAGCAGGATTGTCCAGTCCGTTAATCTCAAGCTAACAGACAAACTCAAGTACAAACCCACACACACACACACACACAAACAGAACAGTTCACATTCCAAACCGGATGCGAGCACACCCCGCAATAAACAGGACGGACAATAAAGAGACAACAGAGTGCACTAAATAAATGCACTTAAACCTCACTGTCTGATGGGTGCAATTCACTCAGCAGTGAGGAAACAAAAGTGCACATGGTTTAGCAAGACACTTCCTAGAGTTCCAACACAAGTGTGTCCAGTTTCAAGAAACAAATTTACCAATAATGACATAGCAGCTGTACACTGGTTTAGACTTTTTTATGTATTTTTTTTTTTTTTTACATAATTTGTAAGTAGTAAATTTAAGAATATATATAGTAAAATAAATAAAGTTGTTACAGGATTAGAATACATGTAAAATAAAAGTAAACTAAAAGTTGGCTGTACCATAGAAGACCTTAATGGCTTTGCACAGGGCCTTGCGTATTTCTAGTTGTACATGATATTCAGTATGACTCTTATGAGGGAATTGTGCTTACGATATGAATGCAGACAATACTAGACGATGTGTTGGGCCAGTAACCTTCAGAAAGCCACAATCAGAGGATGTTTTCTGAGGGCTGTGTGACATTTCACACTTCCCCATCAAAGCTTGGACAAGCCAAACCAAACCTGGTTCAACGTGTGGCAATGGAGCCATTGGTGACCAGGAGGTTGACGTTTGGATTAAAAGTTTTCAAACTGAACCGTGATAACCTGTGATGAATGCAAAGCTATTTATTAAAACTCACCTTAATTCGCAGAGCCTGATGGATGTCCGCTGCAAGCTGGCTTTTCCACCACTGGCCCTCCGATTCCATCTTTCCCATCCAGAAAAGGGCCCCCAATCCTTCAACACAAACAAGAGTGTGAGAGGGAAAGAAGCTATTCTTGTTCAGTTTAAGCACTTCTGCCACACTACTTTCTATTTCAGGTTTCTATGCGAGAAAATGTCACAGTGCTTAAGACGTAAGACAAGTGGGCGCCTGTGGTAAACTCTTTTCTAGATTTTCTGATCTTGAAGTCGTCCGGCAAAGTTCAAGCAGTTCATCTCACGCTAAACTACAACAGCCGCTTCGCCGAAAATCACGACTTTGTCTTATTTATTTGTGTAAGACTCAACTAATTACCTAAACACAATAGTCTAGCGATAAACCTTCCGTATCTTGAGGTCACTTTATTTCTAAATAAATAAATAAATCGGTATGAAATGAAAGTGACCGGCGCAGCACATCCAGCCCTGAGGCACGCCACGAGAACCTTATTACAGCGATATCAAGTATACATGAGAGTTGTGAACAAATAAAGCGTAGTTTCGGTTTAAACGCGCTAATCGACCACGACTATCCAAACTAAAACAGAAGCTGAAAATGCAACAGTATAGGAAACAATATAACGCTCTTTATTAAAACAACTGCGCGTCTTACCACTGAGACAACGGCGCTCCAGACCCCTTTGTTTCAAAACTGCCGCATACTGGAGTTTTATCCTTCAACTACGCGCGTGTGTACTTTTCGAAACAAATCCCATATAAAGGGAAATTATTCCCGTGAATATCAAACTCGTTTCAATGTGCAGCTGTTTTTTTTTTATCAAAACACCGCTGCGTGTGTATCCAACTGAACCCCTTTTGACTTTTTCGCCGTCCCGTGTAGTGTGCTCCCCCAGCGGCCTGAGAGGAGCAGCTCTGAATGATGTTGGTGTGCGGAGCTGCATGGTCGCTCTAAACGGGGAGGAGTCCGCAGTGCGGACATTAACATGAGCGTTGCTTCAAACAATTGCGATTCGACAACTTATTTAAAACGCTGATAAATGATAGTGCGTGTATGTAAATGTTATTAGAAAACAATTATCTAAATCTACAGGTAAAATGTGGTGGTTTGGTAAGATTACTGAGATTTAAGTTATTTTGATGTTGAGGACAGCGAGGAACAACACATTTTAAATAAATTGTTTCATAATTTAATGTAAATAAATAAATAAACGAATAAAATAATATTGAGTGAGATCCAACTACGTATTTAATAATATAAATCTGATAAATGATCCCTTTTTAAATAATTACGCATTGTAATTGGTATTGATGCAATTAATTTGTGATATTAAGAATTAGTGATTGTCACGATAATGCTGTTTGAACTTGTACAGAGAGGTCCCACGCAATACCAATGTTTTGTCATTTAAAACTAAATCCTAGTTTTGTTAAATAAATGACCAATTTTATTTTATTGGTATATGTTCTGCCTGTATTTGGCCTGCAGGTGGACCCTGCACTCATAAGCACTGTAGATGCTGCTTAAAACTAACCCCGGGTTTCACAGACAAGGCTTAAGCCTAGACTAAAATGCATGTCTGGGCTGTTTTACCTGAAAGAAATTTGCATTGACATATCTTAAAATATGTCAGTGCCATTGTTTTGTCTCAAGATGCACACGAGTAATGTTATTTTCTAAGGCATGTTTATAAAATATACTTAAGTGTCCTAATTGAACTATATGGCCTAATCATGGCTTAACCTAAGCCCGGTCTGTGAAACCAGGCCTAATTGCAGTACAGGATAAGGGGAAGTTCATGTATAATCTAATAAATAGTAGCCTACTATATAGAATAGCCTACAACAATGCCTGATCAATGTGCAAAGGATCTTTAGTTTCTTATAATAAGATATGAAGTTAAAGAGTCAGAAAATCTAGTCGTTTTATTAGTAGCAGTTTAGCTAAGCTGTACTTAAAGTACTACAGTATGTGGCCAATCTGATTATTAATGCCATTTTTAAAGTGTCATCCAAAATAATAAATAAAACACAACGATTTTTATACTCTGTGAGAGGATGCAAATTTGATATTTACTGTATGTAACTAGTGAAATTTGGTTTACTATGGAACAGTTTCTGAGAGATGTACTTAACCACTTCACAACCATTAAACCAGACACTTACTGTATGTTCCTTTATTTTAAGGCTTTGGAGAATTGTCTGCTAAACGCATACATGTAAATGTAAATATAAATGAGATATGTGGAAATCTTCACTGTTATTATGTATTATGTCTCTTGTTTCCATGTTTGAAGAGTCTGTAACCATGTTTTCAGGGTGAAATGCTAATATGGAAGTTATGTTATAGGCTAATGTTTTTAACTCCCTGCAATGCTATACACTTCTCACAACTTAACACCACAGTGTCGGTGGTCCCCTCAGGTTTGATGTATGTGTTACTATGTGGATAATAAACATTTGGAGCACCGCTGGTGTGAAATTAAGCAGTCTTATATCCTTGCTGCCCACTATATCATGTCATTAAACCATCAGGCACAGCCAAGACCAAGTGGGTCAAATGCCATAGCTGTCATGGCCTGCATGGCCCTGTCATGGCAAATTCAGTGAAACTCCCAGAGTTGGCTGGCAACGCACAACAAACACTTGAGAGGAAGTGCACATCTGCTCTCGAACAGCTGTGCTTTCGAACAACAGTGCTTCCTCTCATAGTTAAGTCGCCAGTTAACTATTTGATAGAACTACATTTCACATCAAAATTAACTTCACACAAACAAAGTTCAGATCAATGTACAATTAATTAAGATATAGTGATACCTTTAATGCCTACTTTAAAAAAGAACCAATTTACACCATTAAATGATACCCTCATAACCAGTGTGACCATTCTATTTGCAGTGGCCGTTTAAAGGCCCAATACTTACCACAGCGTACCAGAAGACTTCAGCCCTATCTCCCTGATGATAGTGTTATGGGGCCTGGGGAACTATATTTAGCTGGCCCTGTGACTGCACTGGCTATGCTAGTTAGATTCCAAAGGGAACGCTCCAGCACAGCCAGACTAGCACCTGCTGTCAAAGCTGACTGCCACACCACTACCTTAGCTACTACTGGGCCTGGACCACATATCCTGATCCAGACCTCAGTAGCCCAAAAAATAAGGTCTGATTCATCTCCTATGCAGTCCCTAGCTTAGTGTACTTTTAAAGAAGGCACTTGCCCTCGTTTCTTTTTATAGATATCTTGACATTTTTCCTTGATTTCTTACTTAGATTTAACACCTCAGAGGAGTTTCAACAAAAAGGAGAAGACTTCGGGTGGCTTGGATCAGGTGAGAGAAGTTTTTACATTGGGGGTGAGATGGCGTCAAGCACAAGATCTGCAGCTGGCTCTCTAGAATGCATAGTATTTCCTTTGACAAACACTGTTAAGTCAAATACAATGGAAAAAATTAGCCCGTTTCATCCCAAATCAAATGCATGAGACTCCAATCAGTATTTTTTTAACATGCTGCTACCAATTAAGTGTTTACAATTTTTTTGTAATACACAAATTATTTTTAGATTTACAGTGTGCATGCATATGGCTTTGCTTTGTAATTTTAATCATCTAAAAATACAATCCTTTATTCGTTTTATTTTTCTTAGACAATAATTCAGAAAAAGCAGTCAAACTGGACATCACTGGGCTTGATGTAACATCTAATTTTCTGAACCATAAACATTTCTGTACAATACATATAACACCCACCCCCACACTAGTGTGTAAAACGTTCAGTACTGCATCTGAAATTTTCAGACACCACAGGAGGACATTTTTGAAGTGGCATTTTAAAGAGAAATGTCTAAATCAACTGCATCTATCAAAGAAAAAAACAGTCTGCCTCTCCAACAAAGAGATGAAGGGGAAAGTGAGCTAGAGCAGACTGATGATATCACAGATGACTCAGCAAGTTCATACTACACTGCTCTTTGTTCTCTGAGTGAGTACAGTGAAGCTTTAGGGGACAGAACACACACTCTCTCTACAGACCGTCCTGCTGAAGGTGGCACATTTGAGTTCTTAGGTTGTGCTACTACTACGGAAGGCATCACTTCAAGATCCTTGATCACAGACACCACAATATCACAAGACTACAAAACACAAGAAGAGAAGGGTACAGAAGTGCTCCCTGATGAGTCCCAATGTGAACAGGATGAATCTTCATCATCTGAGAGTGTGTTAGAATCTGAGTCAAAACATCTGCAGTCAGGTACAACAGCAGCAAATGTGGATTTGCAGTCTGTAAAGGCAGCCTTTAGAAACCCTCTGCAAAAGCCAGATAATTCTAACAAGCTTAATTTATCAGGAAAAGATTCGTCGGTTAAACCGAGGGATTATTTTGGAGGCAGCAGGACTGTATTTCATACTAACATTAGAACCGCTGAAGAGCACAGCTCCCCAGAACCAAAATTAATTTTGATAACACCTAGGAGAAATCAATACAGCAAGGGTAGGGAACAGGAGCATGGTAGCACAGAGCCAAAAGAGGACCACGCGACACAAAAGCAAAGACCCAAAGAATGTTTGAGTGCACCCAGGGCAGAATGCAGGCTTGAAAGAGGCAGGCATATTCTGTGTCATATGAAAAAGGAGGGGGAGGGCCAGGGTAGCGGGGTGAGTTGTAGAATGGAGCAGGTTGAGCTGTCAGTCAGGTCTAGAAATAGAAAAGTGTCTGCAAACTGCATCTCAACACTCACAGCCAGCAAGCAGGAGTCAAGAATCCCACCACACTGTTATTCAGAGCGTATCCCCGCAACCAGGCACCAACACCAGCTACAGAGACTTGCTGATACTCGGACGTTGGAAAAGCAGAGCCGGCAAGGCGTCTGGCAGTCCAGACCACTCTACTGCACGTTGTGTAGCAGCACTTGGCAACCCTGCCACACTACAGGCAATAGCAGAGGATCAACCAGCATGGGAACAAAGCTTGCTGAGGCCAGCAGTAAGGTGGGGGGCCTTGTTAACCTGGCCCAGGTAAGAGCTTCCTGTTCTGAAACTGACTACATGCATGTTTTCAGATGTAGGCCCTCAAGTCAGCCCTCTGCTGATGAAAACCACAACAATTGGACAGATGATGTTCTCTCTTTTAAAATGCAGATGTATTCAAACACTCAAAACACATCTGCTTGCTCAGAATCCAGTAGCTTTGAGTGTGTTGATGTGGCATTGGAAACCACAGATGAAGTAAACCGAGGCTTAAAGACTGTGCCCAAAAGACAAATCCAGCTGAAGAGACGGGACACAACAGAGGCACATGCCAAAGAGAGCAACAATCAAAGTCTTCAGGTTGCAAACACACCTGTGCGTGCCCGAGACACATTTCAGCGTCAACATAGCACCCCTGCAGCTTTTAACCAGGAGTCCCATGTGGCTGATCAAAGGTCAGTACAGGCTGTCCGAAAACATAGGCTTCAGAAGTCATTTTCCCTGGATGAAACCTCCAGCAAAACCCAGATGGCTTCCTGCATCATAACAAATGTCCTATCAAAAAAAATGCAACATGAACAGAACCTTCGCACCTTGGATGTTTCTGATAAAGCTTTTGCTTCTATCAAAGTGAACAACAGGACTATTACCACTGATGAATGCATCTATTTGTCTGGCAAGGACGTATTTGCTGAAACTACTAAACTAAATCAAAGTGCTACTCTTAAGAGGGAGACCCAGAGAGAGTGCAGCCCTGTTCAAAAGCATTGCAGTGTTAACTCTAAAATGCAGCCCAAGCTATTGAGCAAACATGGCTTCAATCCTCTTTTAAGTGCAATTGGCAGGTCTGAAGTTCAAGGTAGTGGCACTGAAATAACCGACCCTTCAGAGAATGAGAAAGCAGAGAAGTTGAGTCCAAGAGAGGACATGTTGCGGCTGCCTAACCTGAGCCCTGGTGTGAAGCTATCCTGTGACTCA